GGCCCCAGGGAGGTGGGAGCTGGGCAGCGGCTGGTGCCGAGGCCTGCACGGGGCTCCCCGCTTCTCCCTCTGCAGCCCGCAACCCCGGCCCAGCCGCCTATTACGTGGAGGATTGCTACAACTCGCGCTTCCCCTCAGCGCCCGGAGTGGTCATCCAGGGCGTGCGAAGACCCAAGCGCCATGACACAGGCCCCTTCTGCACGCTTTAGAGCCTGCTAGACACAGCCCAGCCGGTTATCGCTCGGAACCCTGCCTCCCTGGGAGCTTTCCCAGGCCTCCCTCCTGAACTGGGTGCGCTCAGTCTGGCCTTCTGACTCCCTGGGCACCCCTGATCCACCCTCCTGGCCAGCTGACCCTTCTGTGAGCTGTGGATGAGGAGGGCCCAGCCCAAAGCACCCCCCCCCACACACCCATTTCTATATAGAAATGATGTTGATTCTTCCGAATTCTGTCGTGCCTGGCTGCCGTTCCTCGCCCCGTGAGCTGTCCCGCAGAGGTGGCTTGCTGCTGACCCGTCATTTCTGGCTTTCCCTGGCCAAGGGTCTCCCTTCACTTCCTCCTTAAGCACACTCTTCTCTAGGCTGGGTGGAGTGGCCTGGGATGGTATGGGAGGGGTCCTTCTGGGCAGTGCCACCCAGGGGACCAGGCCAGCTGCCAGTCTGCTCAAGGGTCAGGCTGTTCGCTGAGCTGAGGAACTGACTTTTGAGGTGGAGGTGGGGGCCAGAATACCCGAACGGCCCTCATGAGGTGAGGTCAGCCTGCAGGCCACCAGGGAGGGCCCAGAGGACAGTTCATCAGGGCCTGGACCCACCCTCAGCCCCAGCCCAGAGACCCACACACTCGCCCAGGCCCACGTGGGTGCAGGCTGAGCCACAGCCAACGGGCTCCCCGGCCTTCCCCAGTTAGGGCCCTGGCCTGCAGCTGCCTGGCCATTGACTGTCGGCCTACTGTCCTGCCCAGGGGTGGGCCCCAAGACCGTCTCCCTGCAGGGGCCTCCCTGCAGCTGCTGGTGGCTCCTGTCACGCCACCGATTCCTCCAGAGGTCCTCCTTGTGGCTCCCACCCTCCCCCCACCCAAGGCCTGGGCCAGACCCCTTCCTGTATCCTCTGCCAGAGTTCAGCCCCTTCAAAAAGGCCCTGCAACAGCTGCTCCCATGGCGGTGGCATTTAACCTTCTGCAGGGGGGGGGGCAAGGTCCAGGGAGGCTGAGCACATCCCCCTATGACCTCTAGGGCTGAACCAGCCGAGAATCAGAGCAGTGGATTGCAGGTGGTCATCACTGAGCCCTGGGCTGCCTGGCTCAGCCAGCGAGCAACAGAGAGAGCTGTGGGCGCTCCCAGCACCCCTAGGGCTCAAGGCTGGAAGCAGGGAGGATGGGGCAGTCCCCTCCAGCTGGGCTGAGAGGCCTCCTGCAGGACGCCACAGAGCAATGGGCTTCAAGGATGAGCAGGCGTTTGCCAGGCAGCAAGAAGGGAATTTCTAGCAGAGCAAACCTTGGGAACCAAGGCACATGAAAAGGGAGAGGGTGTGACATTTGGTGTGGTGAGCTTGGGGACACTGGGCCGGTGTCATGGAATGGGAGCCGGAGATGTTGGAGAGGCTGCGGATACTGGATTGAGGGGCTTGCACACTTAGCAATAGGGAGACCACTGAGGGTGCAGAGCAGGCAGCGCCCACCAGCCATGTGAGCTTCTGGCACCACAAGTGACAAAGGACACCACAGAGGCAGGACTCGCATCCACAGCCTCGGCCTAAGCGCCTGCTGCCTTGGCTTAGCTGACGGGCCCTGCCGGCGAGGCTGGGGAGAGTTTGTCAGTGGGGCAGGACTGTCACTCTTCAGTAAGTGCCCAGAGGTATGTCCATCGGAGATCTAGACCCAGTTTCCGCAGCAGCAGAGCAGCCAAGGAAGCCTCGTGGTGACGCCCAGTGCGGGGGTCAGGAAGCCGGGGACGCAGGCGGCCAGTGCGGGTCGAGGTGCGGCCCTGGTTCCAGGATCGGACGTCCCAAATAGCGAAGCTGGGTTCGGACAAACTGCCATCTTTCCTTGGCGGCCACAAGTCCTCTAAAGGCTGCAAGCTTTAGCCAGCGGGTGTCGTCTTCCTGGGGGGGCACCTGGCAGAAAGCTCATGGAGGCTCCGTGTTCGCAGCAGGCGGGTTCTCTGGGGAAGGGTTTGCCACCCGGGGCAGCCCTCGGGGTTGTGGAAATAACAGGGGCGGGAAAACCCGGACCTTTACCTTCTGGGTGAATTGTCACCCGCCCCCGAGACGGTCCCTTCGTGCAAGTTTCATCCAGTGCCGAGCCTGGTCTTCACCGACTAGCAAATGAACTAGCTGATATGACGCAGAAGACCCAGGTGGTGGGTTTGAATAACTATTAAACTCTTCAACAAAACTATGGCTCGCAAGTCAGCTTTAGTCCAGGAAACATATGGACTCTAGGTTTACTGGGATCCTCAGAGGGCTTAAGTTTGAACTCGGAGGAGATTGGAATCGGAGGCGAGGAAGCTGGTAGTGGAAGGTTAGACAGCATCAGAGGTTCGAGGAGTCTGAGGCTGCAGAGACGGAGCCTGAGACGTGACGTGGAGGGGAGGGCGAGAGCATGGAGGCTCCTCAAAGCCATTTTTTTCTCTTTAAAAGTCCAATAGCCTCTGTTAATTCTAAAGCTTTATTTTGTAAACAGGCAACTTCAGATTCTTGGTGACATTTGAAAGCCTCAAAATACCACTCGAAATACGCATTCCATTCATCTTTGGCAATTTTAGTGCTATTATTGTCCAATTCAGTTTTAAAGTGAGTCTGGGAATCTCGAAGTTTCCCCGCAGTGGCCACTAATGTTCCGAATTACTTCTGGTGAAATCTGTCCATTTAGTTAAGCACGCACATGAAGAGTGGCCTCGGCTTTCAAGCATAAATTTGGCTGGAGTTCCTGGGGGCAGGGGCAGTCTTAAAATATTTATATAACTGAGATCTCTCTTCAGAGACTTTTCCGTAGAGCAAGGGCCCAAAGCAATTGACAAGTGTTCCAGCATCCTTCAGGTCATATAGCAGCCAGTCTCACTCTGGGACAGCCTGATCACAGAGGGGTCAGGCCAAAGGCTAAAAAAGCCAGTTCTGGGAGACAGCCTGCTCGAGAAAGAGCCTGGCCAACGGCTGAATGACACTTTCAATGAGACAATCCAGTCTAGAGCCCAACGGAAGGTCAGCCAGATTCAGTAGCAACAGTCCCTATTCCAAAAAGAATCGGCCAAAGGCTAGCCAGGCTCAAGAAACAGCCCAGTCGCCAAGGAAACAGGCTGACACGTCAAATCCCACCACAGGCAGGCAACAGACAGATAAGGCCTTTCAAGAAGAAAACCGCTAAGCCGTTCCCGACTAAGGCCTAGAGAGTCTCAGGACACCAGAGCGGTGGAGGCCGGATTGCAGGAGACCCACCCTAAGCGTCGGAGCCCAAGCGGCTCTGTGCGGCCCCAGCACCTGGCTGCTCACCTGCTCTGACGCTCTCCGGGCATTTTTCCTCTGGATCCTGGACGAGCCCCTACAGTGTCGACTGTAAAACAGAACCCACTAGGCTCCCCTTCACCAAAAAAGAGTTTATTCCCCAAAATGAAAGGACCGAAATTTACACAACGACCTATGAGCGCACCGAACGCACAAAGATGGAGGAAGAACTTAGAGACCAAGGGAGGTTAGGGGGCGGGCTGGCCGGCCACAGAGCTCTGATGTAAGGTTAGAGACCTTTCTGCCGGCTCGCCGATGACGTGATGCCAGAGCTCCTCCCACAGGCCTCTGGATTTTCTCTAGGTTAAGGCCTCTCATAGATGTCATCACTTCTCAACGTCAGAAAGCTGCTGTGAGGTCAGCAACAGGATATTTCACGGTTATAAAAATAAAATGCACTCGATTTAAATATCAGTTCTGAAATTCTTAAAGCCGGCTTTCCCCCTCCCGCTCTCTCCCTCGTGCCCCTTCCCGCGGTGTCCCGCACACCCCGCCTCGGACCCCGCCATGGGTTCCTCTGCGCCGGGAGAGGGGACAAGGCGGGAGGCGGGACGGAGCTAGCAGCCTGGGCTGGAAGCGAGACGGGGCGGGACCCAGCGGGTGGGCGGGGACTACGGGCGGGGCGGGGCCGAGGGCGGGGTCTCGCTGTCCGCACTTCATCAGGACGTTGCTCTTCTGCGCAGCCGCTCAGCCTGGAGCACGCCGCTCCCAGGAACCTTTGCGCGGCGGCGGCGTTTC